AGGATGGGATCCTCAGAATGGAGAAAACAATTTTATAATAAGAGAAAAGGATCCCTGAGATGGGAAGAAAGCCAAATATGCCAATTATAATATAAATGACTATGTTATTGGTAAAAGTATCAGAACAGGCAAAATTGAGGAGTTGAGAAGTGTCACAGAAGAAGTTAGAAATTTCCACATCCTTGAAGTAGGCAAACTTTAGTATAATGAAACTGTGCAGCAGGGAATTCAAAAGGCTAATTAATAAAGACACCTTGACTAAGAAGCCACAGAGATGAGGGTTCATAGTGACTGGATATCGCAGGGGGTGACAGATGGCCACAAACCGGTCATAGGCCATCACAGTCAGAAGCATGTCATCCATACAGACAAAATTGGCAAAAAGAGACATCTGTGTCAGGCAGCCCATGTAGGAGATGGCTCTGCTGTGAGTTTGGATGTTCACAATCATCTTGGGGACCGTGGTGGAGATGAAGCAGATGTCAGTCAAGGACAGGTTGGAGAGGAAGAAATACATAGGGGTGTGGAGGTGGGGGTCAGAGCTGACTGCCAGGATGATGAGCAGGTTCCCAAGGACAGTGACCAGGTACATGGACAGAAACAGTCTGAAGAGGGTGGGCTTCAGGTCTGGATCCTCTGAGAGGCCTAGGAGGAGGAATTCTGAGACACGTGTTAGATTAGGTTCTTCTATATTACTCAGACACCTTTGGGAATAAAAGTGTTAGAATAAGGAAATAACAGGTGTTCAGCACAAGCAAGTACTCACACTTGAATTCCATGCACCTTCAGAAATATTTTCTGGAAAACTGAGTCTTCTCTGAACTCTTGCTTTACTGGTATCTGTGTTTCACACCCTTCTCTGCTCATATGTAAATGAGCAGTGATAGAGACCAAGATCATTACACATAGCAAGTCTATGATCACAGTGAAATATAGCCCATTTTGACAATTTTATGGGTGTATATTACTTATATAGAAGAGTAGGTTTTATCGTGGTCTATTTATACATGCATTTAACAATTGATCAGTTTTATTTCCTAGTACCTACCGCTTCCTTCCTCACTTTCCCCAAGCTCCTACCACTTCCTTAATGTCCTCCATCTTATTTTGATGAGTACCATTTTCCCCCTCTTTTCTCTCTAACTTCCACATTGGAGAGAAAACCTGTGCTCCTGAGTCTGGCTTGTTTTGTACAGTCAACTTTTCTAATAAAATAGCAGAACCAGCATGTCTTTTGGACCCATCCCTGGCACCATAAAAAATAATAATAAAAGAGAAGAAGAAATACTGTTCCCATTTGAAAATTATTGTCATTAAAAGAAATCAAGAAGCTGTCAAATATAACTTACCTTAAGGCAATGAAAAAAAATGCTGGCATTAAAATGACTATAAACACTATGTCAGAGAAATTCCTGTCTCTGGCTTTGGTGATCTTCAAATTTGATGTATAGTTTAAATGCACATAATAACATAACATCAGTTAGCACAAAGGTGATATTAATGTACAGTGCACCTGTCAGTCA